ATCAGGCGGAAATCGCTGGACATCGAGTATTCGATGCCAAGAGGTCCACGGGCCGAGAGATCCCAAAATCTCTGGGACACGGAGAGCACACGCCTATATGATACTCCTGGGTGGGCGAGCGAAGACTTGGGTTGCCGCGAGGTGCTCCTAGCGTACTCGTCTCGCGCTCATTCGTAGGCCCGAACTGGCCTTGATGGGCAGATGGGAGGCGACATCGGAACTTCACCCTGAGCGGAGATGGGAACAGGCGGAAGACTGGCGATCTGTGATCATCCGGGTACATGACTGGGTACGGCATGGAATTTTTCGAGAAACATAGTTTCAGTTTGAGGAGTCGCCAAGAGACTTGATCACTGTCCCGTGACCAGACTGCAAGCGGAAATTCGTTAAGGAGGAATTACTTTGGTGAGCTTGAGTCGGAGCACCGACCGATTATAATGATATGAGACCGAGCACCCCATATCATCAGCTCATTGCTCAGTTCACGAAATTGACGAATTACTCTGATAGCTCGTCGCACCGTCTACTTCAGTGTCGCTCATAGTTTGTTCTGAAGATTCGAGGTGGTTGTGGTCATGTTTCCAAGCTGCGAACAAGCGGAACCGTCCTTGGCTTGCCCTCTTGGAGACCAAATGTCCAATCTTGTTTTAATGCCCGCGGAGCAGAAGACGGTGGGGATGTTGTGGTATAATTCTTTCTTTCGCGAGCCGCGACGATTCACGGACGCATTATAAAGGCGGGATTCTCACAATTTGGTATTCAAAAGCTTATAATGCGAATCGGCGAGCTCAGACCACTAGTGTCAGTCTTCGAGATGCAGATTTCACCCGGCGACGCATCACACGGAATCACAGACTCATGCAGAAAATGATGATGCCAAACTGGCGATTTGGGAATCCATGCCTCCATTGACACTATGACAAAGAGTGAGGGTTCTTCCCGTGAGACTGACCATGCAACAAGTTGAGTTGTTGATTGAGAGGAATTGTTCCTCCGAGGTGGAGAAAAAATATTCCGCGAGGGTGTATCACCTAAGCCCCGGTGCAGTTTTCCAATGCACTCTTTCTAGTGAAAGATCCCGCTAACACAGAGTGGCACCGACATCCAGAAATCGAGACTCTGAGCGAACGCTTCGCTGAAGCCTCGCACTCATTTATCTTCTCCGCGTGAAGTTTCCTAAGTATGAGACGGGGTTCGCCACTTTTTCGTCCAAACAATTGTTTTCCGAGACATGCTTTCATCAAGCCGAACATTCCGAGCAATAAATCTTCTGAGCGCCACCCTCTAGTTTCCAGACGGCGATGATCACCTCCCTCCCCACCCGGGTCATTTATCGCTCATTAAAGTTCTGTCTATGGTGGCGTTACCCTTGTAATAGCGTCCCCTCATTTAACTTGCGCGGCTTAAGGACTCCCATAACCTTCATTTCGACGGATATTCCTGCGAACGGTCTGGCATTGCGGATGATACCAGAAGAGCACCTCCACCTATAGGGGACGGGGAGGCGAAAATTGGGAAGAGTAATGGAGGAGAGAGTTTCTTTCTATATGGACAAAATCCTATGGGAGCGCTTTTTATTTCTCAACCGAGCGGATCAGCCATAGTAGCGACTCCAGAACCATCAAATACGGAAGGAGATTTGCTCGACCGAATACCACAGAGAGCTGAATAGTAATCGCTGCCCGTGTGCGTCAATTCCGATTCCCGATAAAGACGAATTACTCCGACTATACATCCAGGTTATACATTTTAAGAGCAAAATCTTAGTATTCCCTATTAGGTTCATGTCTCGTCTGATTGTAAGAGGTTGTGGTTTGTCAAGATACTCACTCGATAAATATCCAATGTCCAGATATACACTTTACTTCGGGGACGGAGGAACTACGCTTTAAATAATAGCTCCGGAGGCAATTAAGGCGAAGGGTGTCGCTTAGTCGAAGACAACGAGAATTTGTTCGTGGGGTGTGTACCGTTGGGTTGAGAGGAGTCTCTGACTGAGATCCTCCTTCAAGAGTTGACGGAGCTGTGTCGTTCTGTGGTACCTCATCTTTTGAAGCAGTTTCTGGTGGAACCTACTCATCTCAGCATTCGCTTGAAGGGCCTCGTCGCGATGAGTTCAACTTGCTCAGTGACTCTCGTGATGAAGCAGCCTCGAAGCATATTCCTCAGAAACTTGTTCAAATCTCATCTTCATCCATTTATGCCGACTTCCGACGCATCTTCCCAGCCTCGTGGCATTCCCACTCCCATCCGACTCCAAACGTCGAAAACCGGGGAAAGGAACTACGCGGTCTCTGTGTCGCTGCTATCCCTCCTCCCCTCTACATCGAGAAGCCCCCGAGCTATATGCGTGGCGAAGACTCAGCAGTACCTCTGGAGCTCCATCCTTACGTTCGACTGCTCCGACTGCCGAGGGAGTGTGTTTGATCTCGAGTTTTGTTTGTGTTATATTTAAATAAGCGTAGAATTAAGTTTACCGCGTTGGCCACCCGATGGCGCTTTTGGTTCGGAAGCTTTTGCTGCTTGCTTTTAGCAGCATAGGCTATCATCTGAGCGAGTGAGCCTAACCGGTTACCGACCCATAGACCTGCTTGCCTGCTGACGGCTCTCGTAGACTACCGCACGAATATTCCCTCGCGCTCGCAGGCACATGGAGTTGGATCTTTCTCGGCGCGCGATCACGAGCAAGAGTTGGTTCTCTTCCGATATCGGGCCTCGAGTCCGGACTCCGGACCACGGGCGGTGTCGCTTGACACCGGCACGCCAACCGATCCGGTCCACTGTTCCGAGCACGGAGATCAAGAATTGAATAGCCGTTCATGCAAGTTCAGCGCTGGCTCGTCGTATCTCATAGTAGCTAATCCTCCGCGACGAGTATCGATATTATACTCTCCCTTTCGATACGGATACGGAGCTCAGCCGTAGTTTACCCGAATTAAATTGGGAAGCATTCACTTGATCAGCGGAGTGAATTTTTTCCTCCTCATCCATAAGAAAATTCCTATAAAAACGGTTCTTAATAACGAGAGAGCTTACGCTGAGCAGATCGGTCAAGGAAAGGTTTTCCAGGACTATACGAATATTAAGCTGTTTCTTAATCGAGAAAGCAGCGAAACAAAAGTGGTGCCCGATCGAGCTAAAGCTTTTCGGGAGAACAAAATCTCAGGATGACTTGCAGTGGAGTAGAATGAGGCTTAGGCTTCGGGAGGCGTGGCGAAAGTCTACTCTACCCTCCCTTTCGTGGATCATTGCCACCCGTTTCCACGGAACCATCGATCGCCCGCCGTCAACGCGTAAAAAGCCTCTCACAGCGTCCTTCAGACTTCCGAAGGACTCGCTGGGATCAATCTATGCTTCGACGGCGAGAACCAGATGAGCATCACGTCCTAGACCGCATAACCTCCGCCCCAACGCGGAACGCATCGAATTCGAATGCCGGTCGAAATTACCGTCTTGCAGGAGTCACTCCTCAAACGGCTCATCTGATCATACGCGAACAGCATAGAGGGAGGCTGCTGTTGTTTTACTTGGCATCGTCTTGTTTGGCATCGTCAACACTCCTCGCGCTGGTCCCCTTCGTGCGACGTCCCTCTAGCCAGGCCCATCCTGTTGGCGAATGCAGCAAGCGAGAGCGTAGAGGGGCGGTGTTTTTGGTTGGCGTTTTTGTCTCGTTCAGGAGCAAGTCAGGAGTAGGCAACGTTGGCTATTGGCCTCCTCCTCCTTCTGGTAGTCCTTGCTTGCGTCGGCCGCACCGAGAGGGTGGCGTTCGTAAGGAAAGGGAAGCCGCTGCAGCGCCAACTAAGGGCGGAGTTTAATCACGATTGAGAGAGCTCGCTTTAGTTGTTAGTGATGCTCGCATGGACTGTCCGTGCCTACGAGCGAGCGTGCCTGCGCGTAGCCGAACGACCTACGAGCGTGCCAGTTTCTCCCATTGACGGCAACGCCGGTGAGACGTCCTGCCACCCAGGACGGCGAACGATAGAGACCAGCCGAAGCAACGAAACCCAACGAGACGACCCGCTCGAGTGAGCTCGCCAGTGACAGAGCAGCGGCACAGCGATCGGAGTATCTGCGGCAACGTATACGGAGGTACAGACGAAGCGGTAGCTGAGATCGTCGGAGGTGCCTCCGGGTAGTGGACTCCGGAGCTCGGTTCGGACGAGCGCGCGACCTTGAGCCCGAATGATCGTGCGCGAATCGAACGCAGTGATTGTTGGGAGCAAGTGACAACATCGATGACAGCTGCTTTACGCAAGCGAGCAACGTGGGTTTGTTGACGTCTGGCGCCCTCCCGCCCGCTCACTCGCTCGTTCGGTTTGCCTGCTTGCCTGTCCGAGCATCCGTCCGCGCGCACGTCAGCGTGCCGAAATCGGCGCTTGTTTACCAGTGAGTGAGCAACGTGTTCGTGAGTGACTCACGTATGGGACGTTAGTGCATTCAGTGAACAATGTAGAACCCTTCGAGCCATCCGGACCCAGGCTCGCACCGAAGCCGAAATGTGCTCAATCAAGCTGCTCCATCATGATGAGGTTGAAGCGGACTGTGGGACGAGTGCAATAGTTTTTCATCGGAAACGACTCGACACCTAGATATCGGACTGGAAAGTGTCTCCCGTACGGTCCTCCCCGGACGACCGTGGTCGTCGGTACCAAAACTGAACGGTGATCTGAGTTCTCGAGGGAGAAGAAGGGGATTGCTTTAATCCATACAACACCACGGGAACCGTCGCGCCGAGTTGATCAGGATTCCGTGAGGATTCTTCCCGGAATCAGTTCTCCTCGAGAGTCTGAGAATTCCCCGAGGATTCCCGCTCGGAGGCGGTTCGTTGCGTCGCGTGGAACTCCGAGCTGGGTGAATAGGAAGAAAACTTTTCGCTTCATCGACGAACGAGCGTCAAGCACGCCAGCGGATACAATACGAATCCTAGTAGAGCTGTAGACCAACTGTGTGCAAAGCTCGGAGTAGGTTTTTAGGGCTGTAGAGTAGTTCTCCGCCGGGAAATGTCGACCTGTGGCTTCATGGAAGCGTGCGGGTCGGCTGCGGGATCCCTAGGCTGTCCCGCGGTCTCAGACCGTACCGGCATACCGTCTCCGCACCCTCTGCATCACCCCCAGACTCTATTCGGTCAAACCGAAGGCAGCCATGCCCTTTCGCACAGTTCTAAACTCGGCTACACGGCTTATCATAGTCTCGGTCCCACGTCTGGGCTAGGCGGCTCACCGCCTCATCAGAGTCAAACTCTAATGGCTGGTGGAAGTTTGAGTATGGGTTTGACACCGTTTCGAATCGCTGGTGGAATGCCTAATCTCGATCCAACTTCGGATGGATCCGTTGAAAGCTCGCAGGGTCCTCAGCAGCATAGCGGTGGATCGTCCGCGTCGCCGTCGAGTTCGAGTACTACGGATGAAACTCCGAAATCTTCGTTGGGCACTCCCGTAATCTCCCTACAGAAGCTCAAGTCGTTTTTGTCGCACCACAAGATTTTCTCGACGTTACAAAATCATCACCAGCAGCAGCAGCAACAGCAGCAGCAGCAGTACCAACAACATCAACAGGGTTCGAATTCGTCGGGAGGTCTCAGCTCCCAGTTGAATCCTCAGCAATCTCAGCAGCAGCAACAGCAACAACAACAGCAGCAGCAGCAGCAATCTCAACAAGTGAATCCGCAGCAGGGGACCTCGGGACCCGTGTCTAGTTCGCCGACGGGGGGAAGTCCTTCTGGGTCGCTTGGAGGGCCCAACCATCTTTTGCAATCTCATGGCCAACAGGTGTTAACGGCTACAAACGGTGGCGGTCATGCGTCGCTCTTATCTTCTGGTGAGTGTCAGTCATGTCGGAACCTTCCTTACCTGAACTCCGCTGTCCGTGACGGCAGACTGGAAATCCGGAAAGCTGCTGAGAAAAAACACAAGTGTCTTCAAACTCGGTCGTTCCATGAGAGGACCTGCCGCATAATTGCGACACTGACGCTCAATCAGAGCGGATTTTTTCAATTTTTTCCCCTGAGCCATTTCGCTCCGCCAAACTCGCAAGCAATTCAGCGGCTACTCGCGACGGAGAAAAAACGGAGAAAAAATTAGGCTTATCCCATGATTTCGGAACGATTGGCTCAGCTGAGCCCGTTCACTGGGCGGGTGGGTCCGAGTGCGAGCTCCTGACTGGTTGTCGCGCTACAACTCGTGCAGTTTCGTAGTAGAAATGTTGAGTAGCACGAGCCACCATTGAGAGCATATTGCAAAATACCTACCCAAATTTTTGCTCATGGCGCCTGCTTGTGTTGGCGTTGGGGTAGGGGTACAGAACCGGTTAGGGCCTCAGGGATTTCAACAATCGGCCTCCTCGAACCAACTTTTGCTTCTGCTGCGGCTAGCACATTTTTAGGCGATTCGAGATCCGTTAGGGGGTTTTGCTCTTGGGATGATTCGCGCCTACCCGACCACCTACTGACCGATACGCGAAACTCGTGGGTGACAGAGCGGGATCCTGGCTGGTCATCGGCAGTGCTCCTTACGAAACGATGGACCGTTACACGATTCATCAGGATGGAGTTTGTAAAAACATAAGTTCCCCCACATGGGTGTGCTCTTCGACAGCGCAATTGCGGCCATTACAGCAGAGTGTTGCGTAAAACCTCTTACGAAGTCTTTCTCACGTGATTATCTCAGAGCCGCGGGTTATGGAGGCTGATTTTCGATTTTCGATGATCGTCGACATCATGGAATCATCTTATCCTCATTACTTCGGCCCTGCGCATTTTCGCTCCTCACTGGGAGCTGTGAGCCCCGGAAATTCGTCACACGATCATCGGCGTAACGTGCAGCAAGCCGACTCATTGGATAACTCGAATTATTCGTATTGAAGTAGGTAACATGACATGCGAGCTCAAACGAAGATTGCTACGCGAGGATACGCTCCGTGGGGTTGCAGTGAAGTCCCTCCCGTAGGACGATCGAGCTTGCCATCCCACATACCTTCGAAGACGAATTTCCGTGCCGAAAACAGCGATGAAGCGGGATAGACTGGGTACAAGAACTTGGCTCCGATACCCAGGAAGTGGGAACGCCAGAAGTTAAGCAGTGTCTTCTTGACTGGAGGAGAATAGTCTGAAGACGAAGGAGCTCCAAGGGCTCCCAGGAAGGCTCAGCCCCGGATGGGTTCAGGTGGAGCCGATGTTTTCTCGCTACCTCTTCTTTGCTGACACCGTTCGTGCACTGACTGCTCGAAGCCTATCGTAGTCAAGCATCGTCAGCCCCCTCGCTCATCCGAGGGGCTGACGGGGGTCCGCGGCCGGCGAGCAGACAGTGCAGGGCGAGAGCTTATTAGAAATTATCGCATCAGCGCAATGACTCAGTCCAGCGCTGCCTTCGCGGAGTTCAAAGGCTCTCCTTTTCTATTTCTCCCCAACTTCTTCTCCTTCTTGTTTCTTTGCCTTGATGCTCTTGACAGCGCGGCGACCATGGGCGATGCCCCCATAGTCACTCCCTTCTGAGATGGCTCATCTTCGCGTCGTTCGTTGTCGATGCGTTTCGAAGCGCAGGAGCTCAAAATTATCCCGTCGACCTGCGATACGGAATAGAGTTTCATGTGACCCATTGTCCGACTTCGTTTCTAGAATCGTTATCCAGGTAGCTCCTGGAAGCGATTATAACTATTCGACTCCACGGATCCTCGATTGGAGGTCGATTCGCTTTGCCACGCTCTTCGAATCGGGAGTAATTCCCCAAAGAAAACGCAAGAGCGGCGAGAAACACTTCAAAAGCAATGCTCCGAAGCTCGAGTCCTCCAGCAGCAAGGCACTGCTCGCTAGCTTGTAGGCACGAGATGTAAAAACAATATTTGGGATTGTCCAGCTGTCCTGAAAAAACACTCACTCACTCAGCCCGTTCATTGTTCTTCCCACTTCGGATTCGCCGCTCCAATCCCTCCGCTCAATGATTTTACATCACAATCCAATGTGATGATAACGCCATTGGGTGTGCGACGCGGAGCCTTCCCACCTTGTCACTCATCCGCTTTCTCGGGTTCGAGTGCTCCCTTGCTCCGCTTTCTGATTCGCTGCCCTCAAGCACTTGATTCGAGCGATTTATTTTTTTCGGCTATTGGTACTCTCTATCGGCGACGATTGTTTATTTTCGAGTCGACAACGACGTCACACTCGCTGACTCCACCGGTAGATCTACCTTCCGGCCAACTGTCCGTAAGGAGATGAGGGAACATTTCGATCAATGCGGGCCTAATAAATTCGAATGAGGACCGCGGCGAGCTGCCGAGCGTGACCATTATTTACATTCGGCACAACCGCAATGGAGCCGCATCGAAGGCCTTCGAGCTCCGTACGAGTGCACAGTTCGTCGGAGTTCAGCTGTGGCACGATCATGTATCTGTTGAGCATCTACGGAAGTGTCGTCAGGTACCCCGAGAACGGGTTGAGCTCCCGGAGCTCCCACTACCCGGACGGGATGAGCTCGAAACTCTCGGACGAGGACAGGTTCTGAGACAAAAACTCAGTTCACTCAGTCGCGAGCGCCGAGAACGATCCATTTTTTGTTGTCCCGAGATCTTTCATTGCAAAGTCCAGCTGACCTTAAACCAACAATCGCTCTGGCCAATCTTTCGGCTGAATTCCATCGCGGTTACCGAGGGCAAACAGTTCCTAGCAGAAAAATTCTACGGCGGTCCGATAATTATTGAGCAAACATCCGAGGACGTAGTTTTTAGAAACAATGAATTTGGCTCTTTTCCGATCCGGTTCAGGAATCGGTCGGAATGGGCTCGCTATCGTGGCCGAGCATCAGTTCTTTCGCTCATCGCCTCTTTCGTTCGCTTGGTAGGTCGTCGGGTGGTCGCCGGCTCAGATTGAAGCTGGAGGGAATTTTCCGGACAGCATAACGGCCATCGCTTTTGCTGCTGCCGCTGCTGCTACTACTGCGCTACCGTAGAGATGGTGTGGTGGGCGAAGGGGGGAACCCAGGCGACTGGGTGGAGGAAGGTGGGGGAGTTGCTTCTTTTCAACGCATGCGCCTCCGAGCAGGTCTATAGCACGCCGGCCGCGCAACCCTCTCCGGACGACCGATATTCAGCCCTCCTCTTAGAGCTTCACAGGGCAAGAAGGGCCTTCTCGACTTCCCCTCGTTCCTTCATTGCTGTTGGTTCGGCGTCGCTTCCAGAGCCCCGGCCTCTCCCAGCGCTCCCCGGCCTCTTCCCCCAATCGTGCGGCGCTCCTCGCCGAGGGAAGCTGCAGGAGCACAAATAGAATAGAAATAAGGCAACTTGTTCCCTGAATCACTCGCCCGCGCGTCGTCGGTCGCCGGGTAGTGTGGATATGTGCATACGTCAAATCCGCTCGACGACCGCTGGCGGCTGCCCAACAGAAATGGCGGCGCAAGTGGAGCGGAGCAAAGCGTTCCAGCAAATCGGCATTGATATTGCTCCGACGGAGCCCCCTAATGGATCGACACAGAATCTGGGGAGCGGCGTGGAAGATATGCGAGAGCGTGAATCCCTTGTGAGAATCCCGAAGTTGCCGAATCAAATCCGGAGACTCCGGAGCACAGCGCGATGTTTCTCGACGGACTGTGTCTGCTAAGCTTTGGCGCGGGTGGCGAAACGGGGAGACGAATCATTTAGAACAGGGGGTCTTAAGCCAGATAGAGGGCCGGAGCACTAACTTGTGAAGAGATTCCAACACTCGCTGGCAAAGCGGCCGACTGACTGACCGCATGCATGCGTGCCAGTCAGCCCAAAGATCACGCACACCGTTACCCAGGCCCTGGCAGAGGGCTCTCCCAAAAATTAACTCGTACACTCCAGGTCGAGTTCGGCGCGAACGCCGAACGTCGGGGCTCCGCGGTCTGAAAATAATTGTGGATCCAAAGATCTGATATCTCTACGGCGAGTTCGGGATATTGTTGCGTTTTTTTTTCGGGACGAGTTCCTGTATTCTTGGGGGGGACTCGCTCGACCGCGCGTTCCGCCGTCTCGCCTGCAGGTGCTATCGTAGAGCACGCTCTTAGCGTGCCCCGGCGGTCAAACTGACTTAAATAACCTAAGTACGAGCCATGTCTCTTGGTCCAGGCGCTTATCCAGGACGAAGGGTCGTCTATTCAGGCCTTGTTAGCACTTGAACTCCATTCGCACCCGCTTCGAAAACATGAATGATCTTGTCGGCCGGACTTGTGTGAAAACTTGGGTTCGCCTAAAATTAGACGACCAAGAAAATCTTTTGCGCCAACGGCCCCTTGATTCCTCTGTTCAGGAATCCCGTGGGTGGTGGCGGACTCGCAAGTTCTGAATAGTTTTCGAACGACGGCTATAATTGAAGCGATCCCTGATGAGTTATGCTCGATGATTGAGGTCGAGGTCGACTCAAAGCAGAAAAAATATTCAAGTTCCGAAAAATCAGAGTTTGGAGAGAATTCCGCGGGAGTCTATGGAATCGTGAGGAAAAACACGATTTTGAAGAATCAGCGATCTTGCCTCGTTGAAACCCTGGGGTGACATTGATGTTACCTCTACCTCCCACTCCCACTCGGAGCGTCGCAAGGCGAGAAGCTATTAGTCATAAAAATTCACATGCGACCCCTCCTCTTTACTCTTGCCTGACGGTCTGTCTCTCTTCCTGCCTGCCCACCCTTATATCCCGTCATCCCTTTAGATGCAAGCTGAGTCTTCCTGCTTCTCTTTAAGCCTTTCTTTCTCGAAGCCTCCCAACCACCCCTCACAGTCATGCGTGGTCGCTTGTTCGATTTTTCGGGACTGAGGCAGGATACAGCCTAGAAAGTGACCGACTGAAGCCGTAGGACACGCGATACTGCTCGGAAGTCTGATGGTCGACGCATACGTCACCATAAACTACATGAATCATATGCTGATTGGATTGCCCCATCGACGCCTCTTCGGTCCTCAGCTCGAATTCACTTTTCCTACGGTGGTCTCGTCTCGATTTTTTTCGGAGATCTTTGTGGCCTTAGAAGGTTCAATCGCAGTCGGGCAAGACTCATCCGAAGGCTTGTTTTGTTTTGGTTTTAGCTCCGTGTCGATGGGTAAGATGTTGCTTCCTGATGTGCCGTTAGTGGCAATTTTTCACAACGAACACTATAACTTACAAGCAGGAAACGCCATGTGCGCTTTGAGGGATTGAAGCACAGATGCTCTCTCATGAAGCTCGTTGTGCATCTTTGTTCGAGCGAACGCCCCTCAGCCTAATGCCGCGCCGTGTACTTCATGCCAATGAAAGCTTCGCACTTATCACCATCAGCGTCATCGCCAGAACTGATCATCATCCTCTATGCATGACAGCCTCCGCTCGAATACGTAGAGCTTAGAAAGAGTTCAAAACGATTCATCATTCAAACGACTAGTGCCGTACAGAGTTTCGGCTCGGATTATTCATGTTTTTCAGCTCTATGGAACTTATACGGGACACCCGGTGCCCGCGGTGATGATGATAATTATAATCCTCTTCGCGGGCAACACGATCGCTACCGGATAGATCTCAAGTTTCTCAAAGGCGTGATTGCTCTGTATTTCAGGTCACTCGGCGAGCCTCACGGAAGATGGTCGGTCTTTGGAGCCACAACTTTCCTCTTTGACGTCAAACGTGAACGCGATGTACGGGAGTTCGAACCTGAGTCCTGTCGGCGGCCCTCGAGTTCCGAATCATCAACCCAATGGACATAATATGTTGCTCGTGGCCCCGCCGATCGGGACCAAGGGTAGTCCTCTGAATCCGGGAGTAAATGCAACTAATCCCCGGAAATACGCGTGCAAAATGTGTCCTCAGGTGGGTGAATTCGAGAATTTACGTCAGTCTTAGGTGCTAGCTAACAATTTCGGAGACCGGAATCGTCAACCGGAGCGCCATCTTTCGCAAGAGATCGGAAAGCTGATTCAGAAAGCATCGGCTCGGTTTCGGCATCATGCCGACGGGCAGAGAAGTTCTGGTCTCGTGCCGAGGAGAAGACCAAAAACTGAAGATGAGGCTTCGAGAACTAGGTATGTAGAAGTTGGCGACGCAGAGATGTCAAAAGGAAAGTCTCATTGCTGGAAAGGGGGCTGACAGCTGTAACTCGGGAAACCGCGGCACGGGAACACCTTAAAAAATGGTTTCGCAACGGTTTTACATTCCGAACTCGCCTCTGCCCGGTCGGTGGCCCTATACTCCTCTCTTCCCCGCTCATCCTCTCACTGTGGGTTTTTTATGGTCAACTCAATAAAAACCCATTAGAAACTACCTCGACGTCTGACTCGCTGTGTTTTGGTAAGAGTTTCTGTAGGACTTGGCACGTGAGTGTGCGTACCTCCGTTCGTTCGTTAGGCCACTCTCGAACGTCCGGAGCGGCGGCGACGGAAGACGCGGCTTACTATTTTCCCCATTCGGGATCCGCACAGGCGAGCACCAGCACAAGCAGAGATCTCTGCCGCCGCTGCGCCGTTGAGGCGTTTTTGGCTTTACTTCCATCCAAGCGATCATTTGCGCTTTGAGGCTCTACGCGGGGGACCGGGAGAACTCCCGAGCAAGGACGGTAAAAACTTCCTAGCTCTTTCCGCTGCCCCTGGAAAAACGCTTCCCGCAGCCCCCTCTGACCCCTGCATCAAGCCCCGAAACCCCACTCGGTTCCCTCCGTCGCCGATCTGTGCAGTTGGATCCCGGTCCTGAGAGGAAATGGAGGGGAGAGATGCCCCTTTCACGAAGATTTAAGGGAGAGAGATGGGGGAACAAGGGATTTCGGGACATGCCGCCGTCCCGTCCCCATTCCGGTTGGAAGCTGGCGAATGGCTGGTCTTCGCACCATTATGAGAGTTGAGCATTGGGAAAAATTGCTCTGTGGACGTAGCCGAGCAGGCAGCCGCCTTAGTCTCCGGCCTCTACCGCTCGCTGCGAGCAAAAAACCGACAGCACTGGGAGATTTTTACGTCGCGGAAAGGGACGCGACTGCCTGCCTGCCTTGCCTGCCACTCAGCGTGCCTGCTCGCTGCCCTGGCATCGTGAGAGGAAGAGATCTTTTCAGACCTGAAAAGGCCTCGAACAGAGTTCGTCGGTCATCCTCATGAAGTTGCTCCTCCCAAGATGCACGATGAAACTCTCGCGGGCTTGGCATCTCCGTCGCCTTCTCTGACACGATCTGGTGCTTCTGCCGTTCCCCCGAAGCCGGTTGACCGTAAGACTGCTGGGAGGAAGTCAGTTGCACGTGATGCTTGACGTATCCGTGAGGCGAGAGCAACAATCGAGTCCTGTGTACCAATCGGTCAATCTTTGCCTCTCTGCGCGTCAGTTCTCATCGTTTCCATCGCTCTGTGAATGTCTTCATACTCCTATCGATGGGGTGCGGTTAGCAGGAGAGTGCAGTGAAGCTCTTCGACGTTCGAATTTGAACAGCTGACTGTGATAAACCCTTGGATTTCACTCACTTCGTAATAGAGTGCTAAGAAGACGGGACACGTTGAAATGTCGTTGGAGACTTTATTGGCGGCTCGTGACTCGTCCGTCGACGTGTGCTCAATGTTGACATCGTTGAAGTATCCTCGCTCGCTGCTCGACACCACCGGCTTCCTCATCAAACAGGTACTCCCTAGTCGGCCGTCATTTCTCGACATGGTGCTCGCCCCCTTTCGTGTAGAAATCGATCCCCCCTCGGCACTTCGGGGGACATCGATGACTTAAGATCACACTCGGTTTATATCGTTCTCGTGGCGCTTAAGGGAGCGAGGGTACGAGGACCGAGCCCGACGGCACGTTCGGTCCTAATGATACTCGCTTGACGTGGACCGCCTGATTTTTCTTCGGATAGAAACCTAGAAAATACAAATCAAGTTTTTCTGCCTCGTTTATTCGGCGCATTGGTTCATAGACCGGGAGTGGAGCAGTGATTCAAACTCCATATTCGCTCCATGGTGGCGGGTCCCTCTGAGAATCCCGCTCCGAATCGCGAAAGAGTCGGCGGTAGGAGCAGCAGCAGCAGCGCGAGGAGAACGTGGGATGATGCTGCTCGCTTGCTTGCCTGCCCCACGAAGATCCTCTGAGACTGTCGGCCGGGCACTTGCCAACCGAAAGAGGCGAAAGGGGGGAAACACATTGAGCAGCGGCAAGCTTCCGACAGCATCCGAGCAGCAAAAGCAGCAGCTGAAGCCAATATCAACGGGCAAGCAGCGGAGAATAAACTGCAACAAACCCCGGCTCCGCCGTTTCATTGAGGTCACCACGGGCTGCGCTGTCCTCCAGCAGCCACTGAAGGGCCGCGCCGGTAGATCGGGATCCGTAGGTGCACCGACACCTCTCACGAAGCGATCGGAATCGAAACCAAAATTTTTCAATGGATACGAACACTTGTCCTTCCGTAGAACTGAACTGAATTGAATCGGGAGCCTCCCGGTCGGTTAAATCCAGGACGGGAACTCCTCCACTGGTGATGGGCGGGTGATGAGAGGTCTCAGCTTGCACGAAGTCTGACGCCTTAGTCAGTCCGTAGACTCTTAAACTCAGGCTTGGATCTCTCGCTCTTTCCATCAAAACATGATTTGCGATCGACCGTGGGACGAGTTTCTGGACGATTCAGAATCGAGAAGCGCTTTCAGGTTTTTTCTCTTCTCGTCCGAGCGAACTCCTCCCGAGTCCTGCACTCCACAAAGTAGAATGGAAGTGTGTCTCGCCCGATTCGAAGTCGCACCTCGTTGAGTACCGAACGCCTCCTATCTCGAGATTCAATAAATCTCGCTTTCGTGTCGCCATTCAAAGTGAATGAGACTGTTGAAATAATATTCTATCGCTGCTCGCTCCCCGAATCAATTGGGACTCGACGATATTGTCATGCCTCCGGATCCCGCAAATTCGTCGAAGCGAATTGTGAAACCGTGCTCGCTCGGGGGTCGCTTTGGGAGATTCGTTCGCTGCTCGTCCCCTCCCACTCCTCCGATTTCCTTTGTGCTCTTTCTCGTACTTAGCTAACTGCCCATATCGAGTGTCGTTACCTCTTCCGGAGCCCTCGCCGAGAATCAACGTGTTGCATATTATTCAGTCGAATCGACGAGGGAGCCGCGCCTCGCGATGAATAAGAGGAGGAATTCCAGTGTACACGTTTTCCCTTATCCAAATGCCAAAGTACTTTAGTGGAATTCGCGGGGAGCGCACCAACCGTTTTCGTGGATTGGAACCTCCGCGTTCTGTCTTGTCCTTTGTCCGCGTGTTGCTCTATGCGTTCGTTTCTAGCTTTTTGTTTCGTTGCTCTCTCTCCCCCCCAATAAAACCCTTTCAGAATCTATGGGCTGTGGGTGGCTGTGTTGTTTTGTTTTTGGCCACCCAGTTGGCCTGTGAGTCTGTTCGTATGCTTGACTGCGGCCCGTCTGCCTGCCTGCCTGAGTGACTGATTGAGAAACGTCTGTCTGCCCACAGGCCCGTCTGCCCGACCCACTGTCTGGCTGTCGAACGGCGGACATACTGACTGACAGGCTCGCTCGCTCGCTAACATTTAAGCAGACGAGCGGACAATATTCAACTTTCCTCCGAGCGGCGACTTCGACATGGAAGAGATCGGACACACAGAGTCAGAATAACAGTTCGTCTGAGAGTTTGTTTCTTCCTTGCTAGACTCATTGGGCGGTTTGTTCATCCGCTCGCACACGCAGCACGGAGGGTTTTGTGCTGTTTATTTGTGTTGCCGACGCCGCGCCGCCGTCGCGATCTACGTTTCGAGGGACTGACTGACTGTCCATATGTATTCATTTCGGAAGAGAGGAACGTTCTTCCCATTGTTTTCACACTTGTTCTTAAATCGCTCGAATGTAGAAGAAGAAGAGCGCACGTTTCTAGTTTATCCCTGTTCGCTTGAGCCCGAGAAAGCAATTTTCTTTCTTTTTTCGATTTTGCGAGATTCGATTTGCCCCAGGCGAATAGTCCCCAGAAACGTAGAAGCCCATACTCGAGTCAGATCAATTTCCCAATCGAGTCGATTCGGATGAGACTTCGTCAATGCCCTTCGTCAAATCGAAATACTATTCCGCAGTCAATCGAGAAACGCGTGGGGCTTATTCGATGTAGTGTCTGCACAAGTTCTAGGAGATTCTCGGGACCGTCTTCGTGGTTGTCGAGACTCCGAGGATGGCTAGTGGCTCCGGAGGCTGAGTTTTAGAAAAAGGGGTTCGAGCATGGATGCTGCTTTTGCTGCTGCTGTCGCTGATGATGCGGCGGCAGCAGCGGCGGCGGCTGTTGGTAGCCCACGGCTCCAAGAGGTGACTCACTGCGGCCAGCAGCAGCAAGAGCGACCCATGCTTTTGCTGCTTTGTTTTAAAACGGGGGAGTAGTTGGGGAGTCCGGGGAGGGGTCAGCGACGGCGGCGAGGGGGAGAGTCTCGTCAGAGGGAGACCTGGGTTAGACCACCCTCGCTCGCTCGCTGGCTCGCCTCCACTGCTGCTGGCTAGGGTTGTTTAGGGTTTTCCTCTCTGGCATGCATGCATGCATGCATACAGCTCGGGCTGATGATGAGGAGAAAGAAGAAGAGAACCAACCCGAGTAAAAAGTAAAAGCACGCTCGAGGGAGACGCGGGGGTCGACTGGCTCGGTTGTTGGTCGGGATGGGGGATGGTTAAGGCCTACACATTGCAGCGCAGGAGATGAAGTTAGACGGGCTTTAATATTAGCGCGCGAGCGGCTGCCTTACCACGAGCGAGACCGCCCGCCTGCTAGACCGACCGACGGTCTACCCCGCGAACTCCCCCCTGCCCCTCTCTCGCACACTAGTAAGGAAGCGACCGAATGGCTAAAACCCTCCCCTGCCCCTCGGGCTCCCTAGCCATCCCCAAACAAGCCGAAGCATCCCCCCCGAATTCGTATACTCCCACACAACGAGATGCTCGTGGAGAGCGCAACTTGCGAAAGCCCCTCCCCGTCCTCTTTAGGAGGCATCCACCCTGGCAGCGACAAAACAAAGACGACCGTCAACCTATTCTTCGGCACGGGAGTTGGCTCCTAATGTTTTCCGCGAATATTTCCAGTTCCCTCTGCTCAACTGAAAGAGAGCGGGGATTTTACTCGGAGACGTGTCCCAGGTCCCTCGTGTCGGGAATCATGCCGGTTTCTCCCTGTCTCTCATTCCTCGATGCGAATCGATCGAAGCCGTGTGAACGGGCTTCGAGACGGAAACTCGTCTCAGTGCCCGACTGTCGGTCGACATAAAGTATACATGTTTACGGCTACAGACTCCCTTCGCTCCCCGCGAGCAAAATAAATCGCAGTGACATATTAAATTTATAGTATTGATCCGGGTGTTGTGTTGATCGAGAGGTGAGATGTCTACGACTGGAAAAACACATTTGCTTCAGCGTCGTGCTCTCACCTGGATTTTGAGCTCCGATCGCATCACTCCGGCAGAATCTTCTCCGGACGTTCCGCTTATCCCTGGGCTCGTCGCATTGAGGCTTTGACCGTCTGTGTCGGGCATGAGATTCGTTCTGAGTCCAGCCCGGAACGGCGTCTTCTTCGGTCTGTGAAGAACCGGATCTTGGAACCGAATTCCTGAATTTAGGTCCGCGCAAGAATCGCAATAGGAACACGTGGTTTTTGTGGGCGGAGCGGCAATTGTCCATTGACCTACTAAGGACTACCGTGCTCTAAGAACGGCGGCCGCCTCCTCCTCCCCCTTTCCTCCTCCGCCAACCACGCGGGCTTCAGCATTTTTTAAGTCGATACCCTTTCCCCGGCTCTCTCGAACAAAAACTCTCTGCGGCGGCGGCGGTGCTGGCGGCCTCACCATCGCCAACGGCACCGTCCGTAGCTCTCTCGAGTAGGGAGGAGCTCTTCTCAAAAAGGAGGAGTTTCCAACCAACTATAGTCTCGAGCGAGATTTTTTTCTGTCGATTTCTGAATACTCTCGCCACAATCTCTGTCGCACTCGGTCATCGTCCGGTCGGCTGCCGCAGCCAATGACATTGTCGAGCATGGACCTATGGCAATGCCACCAGAACGCGCAATGAAGACGATCAGTCGCCGAACGAGAGGCGGCGTGGCCTCGTCGATAATTCTCCTCGAGCACTGGGCGGCGATGTGAGATCGCATCGACATCTTCTGTCAACCCTTCTGTCACTGTCACGTCCCTCCACATTCTGATGGATCGCCTCGTGAGGAAGACGATCGCGAACCGCTGCGAGAACTCGGTTTCACTTCCATGCTGGAGTTTTTATTTTCCGAGGACACTTTCGCTTCGAAACGACGATCGACATTCTGAAAGGGAGGAGACAGTCCCGCTCAGAGATCTTTCATGAGCTTGACCGAGACCTATCACTTGTGAGCTCGGAAAACTTATTATTTCCTCGCGCGGTCTCGAAAGCAAGTTGCGTGCCCAGCGGGTGATGTAAGACAAACACGAAATCGTTGGGCCATCCCCAAAAACGAAGCTTGAGAGCCTCACGCGAGCTCGTCGGATGATAGCAGTCGTAACAAAATCATTAGCGATTAGAGATCGAGAGAGCTCTCGGCGCTGTTGTCTAAATGCGGCGCAGCCTCAAAATCCGAGGACCTTGTACACTAGAAAGGAGCGAACGGACGGCATAGCGAGCGGAGTATCGAGCAAAGAAGCGAAACAACAGCGTGCGCACGAGCTTACAACGCGTGCACCATATCGCCCGGTACAATCAAATGAACAGCTGTTGTCTGACGGCAGCAAAGGGTGTAAATATTGTGTAGCGCACCGATCTCGGCGATGACTCACCGTAGCTAACGGTAAACAAGCAAAAATGGGTCTGAGCCGAGATCGTGATTGAGCAGTCAATCATCAGAATAACTTTGGAGAATCGAGAGCTCGGCCATCGATAGCGGTCAACCGTCATTAGTCTTTGAAGCTCTCGCCTGATTCGCCGGAGACGCTCAAACAGCCGAACTGTCGGGGAAAGGAATCCCCGGCCCTTATTGGGCAGGGGAGGGCGTCGTTCGGAATTTCGGGGGAATATTCCGACGGAGAGTCCATGACTAAGATTTCGACATCTTCCTTTCCAGATTTTTAACTCCAAGGCCGACTTGCAGCTCCATACGCAGAGCCACATGCGGGAAACGAAGCCCTACAAGTGTAGAGAATGTTCGAAGTCGTTCGCCAACTCGTCGTACCTGTCTCAACACACAAGAATCCATTTGGGCATAAAGCCCTATCGATGCGAGATCTGCCAGCGCGGATTTACCCAACTCAGTCACCTTCAGCAGCACATACGCACTCACACAGGAGATAAACCTTACAAGTGTCGCCATCAAGGATGCAACAAGGCGTTCTCGCAGCTCAGCTCGCTGCAGAGTCACAGCCGTTGCCACCAGACAGATAAGCCGTATAAATGTAATTCGTGCTACAAGTGCTTCGCCGATGAAGCATCGTTGCTTGACCACATCCCGAAGCACAAAGAAAGCAAACATCTCAAGACGCACATCTGCCAGTACTGTGGTAAGAGCTATACGCAGGAAACTTATCTGGCTAAGCATATGCAGAAGCATGCGGATCGGCTAGATGCCAAACAGCGAAACAGTATCGCGTCAACACTTCAAGGCCTTAGCGGCTCGGCCTTGGCGTCCTCAGCTACGGCCTCACCCCGTAGCGATCCCAATTCTTTGTATTGGTCGAAGACGCCAACTCCGCCACAGCCACACCTTGATCATCTGAATCCGTGTCACCTTGATCTGCAAGCTCAGGTGAGTCTTCCACAAGCATCTTCTCGCCCCCGTTCTCTTGATCGGAATTTTTTTTTCGCTTCCTGTTTCTTTCGAGAACCCGATGGAGCTCTGCCCTTCAACTGACGAGAAGTTCTCTCTTTTGCAGAGCCAGCAAACTCACCTCGATCAGCTTAATTCGTCCTACGACGGGAAAGGTTCAGTGTCGGCTTTCACGCCGATCCAGGGTATGCTTCCTGGGGGACAGATGGGCCATCCTCAGGGTGGACCGCGGAACCCCTATTTCGCCTACGAAACTTTTCCCAGCAGCGTGGCGATGAAAACCGAGAAACCTTCGGCCAGTTCGTCGTTCCCCAATCAGCTTATATCGTTACATCAGATACGTAACTTCGCCTCGATGCCAAGCGCAATGCTGAGCCAAGAGAGAGATTCCAAGGGGCAGAATAATCCGCAGTAAGCAAGCGATGATAATCGACAAAACACCCAAAAGGATCATCCGATCCCGGTAGTTCAACAAAGCGACGCGACCTCGTCGGTGCGTGATTTCTCTGAACGTCAGGGATCCCTCACGCTCCCGATGGCAGCCGGGCATCGCTCAGGGAGGAACTCGTTCCCCCGGACTACTTGAAGTACTGAAACTGATCACGTGACCGTTGGAAATTCACCATACAGAACTTGACAACGCACAATCTGTGGAGTGATGATGCTTACCGATTACAGAAGCAACTTGAACTTCTTCGTCAGGGTCGGAGAAACAGTGAATGAATGATGATTTGGCGATTAGCAATTATTATTGGAGACGGCGGCAAGTGTTGACAGCGGCGGTCCTCGTTTCCTTGGGTCGTCGTCGACGTGATTTTCGATAAGTGACGACATAGGGACTAGAATCACATAAACCGGTGAAGCGGATCGTATTTCGGTAGGAACTCGGCAAGAACTCAGTCAACGCCCGGAGAAAGTATCTAGTCTCTAGACACGAACCAAAGCCGACCGATGTATTAATTACCTAGGAACTCGAGCGCCGGAGATGGTGACGTTGAATTAAGTGTAAACGACAGCACCCATTCACTTCCTTGCAATCCTTGCCTGAACGTTCGTGCGCAACTTACCAGTCACTTCATTTGAAGAAGTTTCGCTAGATTCTTGGGTTGTCCCCCCACCTGATTCCGCGAGCCTGACATCGCGCAAAACATTTATTCCCTTGGAGGGTAAACCCTCCGTGCAAACGGGACCTTGGACCGAGACCGAGAGAGCTCCCTGGTCTTCAAAAAAGGAAGGATCGAACAATTTCGGACAGACAATTCTCGCCAGACAGACCGCTCTCGGAACCTGGTCAGATCCACCGAGCTCCATTTTCCCGGATGCAAGGAAACGAATTGTTTGATGAGTGGGGAGGAATCCGTTGTCGAACGGTACCTCATTTTTCCTGGCGACCGCGTTTTCGGAACACCGGAGTGTGTTCCATCGGGCGATCGTTAGAGGTTTTTGTCTAATTATCCGAGTCGTAGTGATAGCACGGTATAATGTCGCATTTATCTTGATGCTGCATTTCAAGCCTATACAAGCAATGTGATATCTCCTTGTTCCCCTCGTTGAGTCACGGAGCTGGGAAGCCCGGTAAGGTTCAGTAAGACTGACCTTGGTCACTCTGACCCCGTGCGAACTCTTCCGACGGCTGAGTGGTATCAACCGTTGTTCAGTAGTGAAATAATAATGGGTTCTGTACTAGCGCGCTATTCGTGGGGGCGCTCCTCAATCGTTGTCTCGAACGGCAGGGCTTCTAACAGATCTCCCGATAAGACAGGTTGCTCCGAATGGTGCTGATTGAGTTCCTCTGTCTGATGAGCTCCGAAAGAACCGCAATCGCTCCGTTTCCGGATCGTTTGTGAGAGAACGGCGGGTAGGTTATATAGTCCAAGGTCGTCCGGTAGCCAAACAACTGAAGCCGAAGAACGGAAGTGAACGTTCACGGAGTATCCTCAAAGGATGTAATCGGTGGAGAGAAGAAATCGTTCTGTCGGCAGACATCCATCGTCTGGAACAATTGTATATCGACGACAAGGTTCACGTGATCAGCAACTCACCAAAGCTCTCGACCCTCTCAGTTTTGCGATATTGTGCGCCCCCGGATTGATTCTCGGTAGCGACAGCAGCAGCTAAAGCTCCAATCATGAGCGCAGATACGTGGAAAAATTGTCACTCACCCTAGGCGGACCCAGTTTTCCCGTGAGAGAGAATCCTCCTATCACGAATGAGGGAAAACGCCGTAGGAACTGGCCGGAAAACTCGTTCATCATACTTCTTAGAAAAACGTGTGTTCGTATACTCATCGTCACCTTCAACCTGGAACCCCTGCCACCCCCTCCTCCTACACACTGGAAGATGTTCTCTTTCGATCGACGAGAAACCCAATCAGACAGTCAGTCATTCAGTCTCGGTCTCTCTTCAAGTCCACCGTAAATTTCCAAGGATGACTGAAGGGATGAGTCACGTGACGTGCTCTTCGGAAACAACAACAGCAACAACAACAAGAAGCACGCTTCGGCTGAGGGAACTTATTGAGTCGAAAGTACCAACGCGCAATAGTGAACACTCTGTCGGTGTGAAACACCGGAATAGTCCTCGATGATACCGGATATATTGATCATACAGAAAGTTCTATCGCTCTCAATAATTATCGCAACGATTACATTGCTTGTTTCCCTCGCGTTTCGATGATCCTCGGCGCGAGAATATTGTCGCAGATCACTGTAACAATCCGGAGACGATTGGAATAATTTGTAATTGTGTTCGGAGATCATGATTTGTAATCCACGACCGACACCGATGAATGCTAGGTTCATAATTATTATTGTAATTGTTCACAATCGCCATCACGATTGAAACCATTGCTCCGGTGATTGAAATGTCGAAGTCGAAAATGAAGGTGACGGCAGCGATGTAATCGACGGTACCACCGAACTCAGACGGAAGAGTTACTCTCTTTCTCTCCTGCGAAGATCAAGAGGTCAACAACCTAAAAAATATATTCGAGAGGCGACTAGTAGATTTTGTAAACGTAATTTAAAACCGATAACGGCGCAGCCCAGCAACCTCATTGTGTACTACAATATACGTCGACGATAATACTTAAATAGGCTGTACTTAAATGTAATGTAAATGTTCGCTTCGGTTTTTAAATATTGCGCGCCCTTGTTCGACCGATTCGACGGATGAGCGGATGATTTCAATATTTCAGGGATGATTAAGCAGGATCCCTCATCGGGCGCTTCGGCGCCGAACGATCGACACGATGTGATCTTTGGGCTCGGAATCAGGAAACTTTTCCCCTCTGAGCACCCACGATCACGCCGACAGCAGGAAAGTGGTTCCGAACCAAATCTCGATTTTTCCAAGGAAAAAAAAATGACAAAAAGAAGTGAAACTGAGAAAACGAGGCCCTGCGGTCCGCCCTTGAATCCTGCGCGGAGGATCGCATCAGATGCGTAATCCTTGCGTAACATCGTTCCTGTTCCAATAGTGTAGGTCCCACCTATGCATGTTCCTCTCCTAGCTCCCAATCAACTGAATGATGTCACGCTCTCTTTCTGTAATCGTTTTGAGCTCGTATTGGGTATCGGAGACAACTACAAGGTGACGGCAGCAAAGACGCCGAAATACCACGAGAGAGATGAAACGAGGTGAAACAACAATCTGTACAACTATCAGTCGGGAACTTCAGCAATCGACTTTTCTTCAGTCCTGCCGGAAAATCCCGCGCCTTCAACCTCGTTGAGAATGGGCTTTCCGGAATACGGACGAGCCTCGTTTCCTTGTCACCCCTGACAACTCGGAGTGAACCGAGACACTTTGGCGGTAGTAGTCCGCAAGAGCGATCAGTGTCTCAATTAGGATGTCGATCGCGAATCGCGACGTGGCCAGTAACACGCACCACGGGATCCGGACCACACAGTCGGGGGAATTGGTCCCTCCGAACAGTGGTGTGGAACGCCGACTCCATTCGACGGACGTGAGGAGGTGTTCCGTCCCGCCCGGGCCTCCTTGAAAATAATAAGAATTGCGACTGGCGCTCTCGGGAATTTCCTCGAGGAGTTTGAACAATCTCGTTCGCTCGCTCACTGGTTCACGGCAAGCAGCGGATCACGGCGACGAGAAGCAAGATGATAATCATGCCGACTATGTGAATTCGGAAATTACATCAATCATGCTCGTCATCTAATCGACACCGTTTTTGCTCGTGTGGAACATCATGAAGTCTTGGGAGTATAAGTTAATGTGGACATTGTGCGCCACCTCAGACACCTACCTTCATGAACACACCGTCAACACAATTTGTTAATACAAGTTGTCGTCTGCGACAGGGAAGGCTATATTGAAGATGAGAATGATATTACTATTACGGCGATGGATGAGGATTATAATGCTGATGATGACGATGATCTCTTTGGTTTTAGAACAGAGTAACCCACAATACGGTGACTATAAATATTATTATTGATAATAATTGAAAGAAAAACTCGGTGAAAACCATTACAATGATCGTCGATGGTGGTCGAGATAATGCTGGAGGCGATTATCAATACGATGACGGAAATTTCAAGTAATGTAATAACGGTGAATAAAAT